CAAGCAAGTCTCCTGCCTCAGCCTCCCAAGTAGCTGGGACCACAGGTGCCTGCCACAATGCCCGGCTAGTTTTTGGTTGCAGTTGTCATTGTTGTTTGGTGGGCCCGGGCTGGATTTGGGCCTGCCACCTTAGGTGTATGTGGCTGGTGCCTTAGCCACTTGAGCCACTGGCGCCGAGCCGCAGTAATTGTTTTGTAAAAATTTTTATTCATAAGAGAAAAAATATTCACATAAGGCTCAAAAGCCTAAGGCAGAAAATGATCCCAGGATCATAAGGAAGAAGCTCAAGCATCAACACAATGTAGAACCTAAGTTAAAAAGCACATCTTGGCTTGGCGCCTGTAGCTCAGTGAGTAGGGTGCCGGCCATACGCACTGAAGGTGTTGGGTTTGAGCCTGGCCCGGGTCTGCTGAACAACAATGACAACTACAACCAAAAAATAGCCAGGTGTTGTGGCGGCACCTGTAGTCCCAAGCTACTTGGGAGGCTGAGGCAAGAGAATTGCCTAAGTCCAAGAGTTGGAGGTTGCTGTGAGCTGTGACACCATGGTACTTGACCCAGGGCAATAGCTTGAGACTCTGTCTCAAACAAACAAACAAACAAAAAAATCCAACAAAGCACATACTGTGGGCAGCACCAGTAGCTCAGTGGGTAGGGTGCTGGCCACATACAGGGAGGCTGGCAGGTTTGAATCCAGCCCTCGCTTGCTAAACAACCATGACAACTGCAACAACAAAAATAGCTGGGTGCTGTGGCAGGCACCTGTAGTCCCAGGTACATGGGAGGCTGAGGCAAGAGAATTGTTTAAGTCCAAGAGTTTGAGGTTGCTGTGAGCTGTGACACACGGGCACTCTACCAAGGGTGCCGTGATGAGACTGTCAAAAAAAAAAAAAGGCAATAAAAAAGCACATACCGTTTTAGAAAGTTCACTTCCAGATTCCATAATGCGCAAACATAAAGGAATAATTTCTGTGGTCAATAAAAAGTTGATTACTTCTTGCTCATCTGTTTTAACCAGGGCTCCTGAAGACAACATGGAGAAACAAAGTTATTTAGAGTCAGGATTTCCAAATAAGTTTGTGTTGTTTGTACAAGTGAATCTTTCTAAGAGTAGAATGTGAACATTTTAAAACAATAACTGAGAAAATGACATGAAGGCTCTGTTGACCAGTTTGATGGAAGTATTTCGGATTGCATGTGAAAACCCCACACTGTACCCCAGAAGCGCATTAATGTACAGTTACCATTCAATTAAAAAAAAAAAAAAAGTTTGTGTTGTTTTTTCAGTGAGTTGTGAAATTTAGACATAGAACTCAAACTATGTATATTAACAGAATCAGATTCTGTTTTTTACCATTACCATTCAGTCTTAGCTGGAGGGTTATCAGATTGAGGAAATTCTTTATTCCTAGTTTTCTACGTTTTTCACATAAATGGATGCTGAATTCTGTCAAAGACTTTTTAAAAGTTCACCCACAGAAATGATCATGTTATTTTTCTTCTTTAGTCTGCTGATGTGGTCAGTCACACTGACTGATCATTGAAAACTTAACTAGACTTTTATTCTTGATTCTTTTCATATATTGCTGGATTTGACCTGTTAGCATATTTTCAAGAATTTTTACATCTATGTTCATGATGGATACTAGGCTTTCTTTTCTTGTAAAATCTTTGGTTTTATTATCAGAGTAATACTGGTCTCATAGAGAAGTGTTCCCGTTTCTTTATATTCTAGAAAAGTTTCTAGAACTGCCTTAAAAATAAAATCTTTAATCTTTAATTTCTAATCTTTAAATTTTTGGTGGAATTCACTAGTTATGGGAAAATAGAAAAGAAACACGCAAACAAAGACAGTGGTGTGTGACTGTAATCCCAGTTACCCAGCTATTCAGGAAGCTGAGGCGGGAGAATTAATTGAGTCCAGTAAAGGAAAGGAAAAAGGAAAGGGAGGGAGAAGAAAGAAGGAAAGGAAAGAAACAAAAGAAAAAGGAAAGGAATTCCAAACTTCAACTCTATTCCTATAATATTAGTCTTTATACGGTGAAACAAGGTCTTATTATTATTTTTTTTTTTGCATTTCAGTTATTTTTAGTTAAAGAAAAACAGCCTTTTCCAAGGGTAACAAAGTAAACTGAAGGTCAGAAGGAAGCTGGGTGTGGGTTTCTCATAAGCTCTTGCTCCAAAACCTGGAAAAGAGGAAAGACGGCCCTCCTGGGAGCTCTGGGAGAGACTGGTGCAGCAGGGAGGATTCCTTTGGCAGAGTGAGCAGAGCTGCCAGCCCACCAGTGGTCACTGGATTGGTCTGAGTGGGCTCTGAAGCGATGTCCACGTGCCAGTCTACCAACATGATGAATATTATTATTCTTAGGGGGCATTAAATTAAGGAATGACACAGGGAACCAAAAGAGTGGCTTATTCAGTTGGATTCTGAATCACAATCAGGAAACAGTCTTTATCTGGTGCAATCATAATTTCATTTTTCTTGGAGCGAATTCGAAGAAAGGTGAGGTCATTCTGGGGGTCAATTTCACGCACGGTGCTCCGTGCTTTCAAGATGAAGTTGTGCATGAGGTTGGCGTACTGTGTGGTGGTGGGATTGTCCATGGTGCTCTTGATGGGAATACCTTCTGTGTTCACTATGATGATTCCCTGCACTCCTTTCTGGCTCTGAAGTCGCTTCAGTGTCTCCTCCACCTCTGCTATTTTTGACCAATCCTGGAGCTCCGCCGTCGCCTACACGCCCAAGTTCTTATTCTTTACTCTCCTTATAATTCCAGTAAATGTTTCTACATATCTACTGAATTTAATACTAAATATAAGATTGGGTCTCATAATCTTTTTTTTTTTTTTTT